GTACTGCGCTTTTTAGTTGCATGCTGCAAACTTTGTTACTCTTAAATATTTTTGTCAGGTACCTGCAAAATGTTATCTTCTCTTGTGACCTTACTGCAGTCTACTTTAAACTAAACAAGGCACTTCAAGGTCTTTTCGACCGTACCTTATTTACCAAGGTACATGTGTCTTCATTGCACGGCACTTATTTTCTCTACCTCATTTGAGACCGTAATTCAAGAAAGTCTGTATTCTTGCGCTTTTCACTAAGCGAAATGTGTGTGTGTGTGTGATTATGGCAAAGCCTCGAGGGCTATCTGCCTAAGAGGAGGGATGCCTTCGTGGAGGACTTTCTAAGGAAAACTGGCTCGTATACACGTTACACATGGGAAAAACCACGAAAACGTCCATGCAGCCAGCCCGTTCGCGGGATTCGAACCTCGGACCGAACTACCAGTGTTCAGCGACCTTACCGCTCGGCCGCTGGTGGGCCACTAAGCGAAATGTGCTAAACGGAAATGAAGTAAAGGAAGGAGACCTGACTCTGCCGCAGTTGTCATTTCCCGGTAAGCCGGAAAGGGAAAATTGCCCCGTAGTACTTATTCTAAAGTATCAGACTATAGCTGAGCTTATTGCTGAGATAGTCAGCTCTGCACACATCTCAAATAAATAAATAAAATGAGATGGCAATCATTAAAATATCGGTAATTAGGTCAACGAATTTTCAGAGTATAAAGTTTTAATCATTGGGTATTTTTTAAAACACAGATCATGAATTTCAAAAATTTATGTTGACATGTGTAATTATGATATATTCTAAAATGACATAACCTTAACATGCCATTTATTTGTATGCATATTTCTTAAATTATTGGCATTTGTTATTTTATTGGCTTTAACTTCTTTCGTACTATCATGCACCTAATTTTTTGGTCGCTATTGAAGAAAAAAAAATTTTGGAAAAAATAACTTCTTTTTAATTAACATATTTCAAAGATATTAAAATTTCTGCTTAAGCATAATTAGGAAAATAATTTTTATTTTTAAGCATAAATCGGTAATTTTTGGACCTTCAAACCCTTATATTTTTTTCATCTTTATAAGTCTTTTATGAAAAATATAAAATTTCTAAAATATAACTCGATTATTTTTATTTCTAAATTTTTTTCATACATCTCTTTCCATTAGGATCTAAAATTTTTGCAGTGCAACGAAAGGATACTTAGGTGCATATGTGTTTGAAAATCTTTGGTCTAAAGCGGAAAAATCTGCAGAATCTCAGCTTACGTTTATCAAATGGCTGTAAAATTTTATGTGAATAAATTTCCAATTAGTTAATAATTTACTGAAAGTAGGGAAAAAAAAAAAAAAATGTACTGTCTTACACTGAATTGAGCTGAAAGATAGACACGAATTTCTGTTTTTCAGTTTTATAAAAATCGTATAATTAGTAAATAAATGTGGTATTTGATGTGTACACATGCATATGTGTAAGCATAGAAAAACGTAATTGCAAATATAACATAAAATTATCAAAAGGAAACAACAGTTATAATATTAGCGTAAAAAGATACTAAGCAAAGAATATTAGAAAGCAGTAATGGTCTCTACACGTGGCTAGAGTCCTACAAACATATCAGTACAGTTTGAATCTTGGTAAAAGAAACATTTTAATGGCCATTACATGCGAAGATTATAAAACATCTTAGGAAAAATTTGAAAGTTAGAGTAAGAAACGTATTATTTTGAAAAGAGGAATTTAATTCTGCAAACATACAATGAGGTCAAACTACTGAAGTGCTTAAAATATTCAAATATGACTTTGAATTAAACATGGATTAAGATTATCCTCTGTCTTTGTAATCTAATCCATATTTCTTTAGTATAGAAATACGAATTAAATTGTTCACTTTAAGGGCTAAAAAATACGATAAGTTCTTAGTCTTACTATGAAATTAATTGAAATCCATGAGCTTCATAAAAGACAATGAAATGAACTGTACCTATGTTGTGAAAAAATTGTGTCTGATAGTTTAAATTTTTGCTTTCAATTTAGTAAAACTGAGGGTTTAGACATTTATACACTCACGTTTGTGAAAATTGCAACACCAAGAAGGAATCGTCATAATTGAATGCAATTAATACACATTGAGTGGTCGGTACAAATAATGATTAATGTTCAAAGCAAACAAACAAAACAAGAGATCAGAATCAGTATTTTGTGTGGCCACCACGCGCCGCAATAAGTGCTGTTACACGACGCGTGCATGGAGTCAAAAAAGTTTGAATGTCTGACTGAGGAAGAGCATTCCATATCGTTGGTACGCGTACCCAAAGTTCGTCTGCACACGCAACAGACGAGGATTACGAGCAAGACGCCTACCAATGACATTCCACACATGTTCAATTGGCGCAATATCGGGGAACACGCAGGCCAAGGAGAAGAAGCTGTACCTGCTGCGCTGCAAAGAAGGATTTAACAATCCGAGCAGTATAGGGCGGGCATTGTCCTGTTTGAAATACAGCCCTGGCAAGCTTTGAAGGAAGGGGGGAACAGCTTCGGGCTGTAGAAACTTCACGGATATACCGGTTGCTGTTCAGATTGCCCACAATTCGTAGCAATTGAGATCGTCTATGATATGCTATGGGCCCCAGACCATAACTCCGGGTGTTCGTCCACTGTGGCGTTCGATAATGCACTCCGGAAGGTGGGTTCACCTGGCATAGCGTCTGGACACGAATGCGGCCATCATGGTACACACAATTAAAGCGGGATTCGTCAGAAAAAACACGACATGCTGCCAATCAGCACGCCAGTCTCTATGCTGATTGGCCCATTGTAGCCGCAGGCGGGCGGCGATGTCGTGCGTTAGGGGGATCCTGTATAAAGGAGTCCGTGCGCGCAGTCCACACTGCAGCAGACGTCTACGAATTGATGAAGCACACATGAAACACCTGTAGCTATTGACCACAGTGCTGCCAATTGTCTAGAGGAAGCTGTACGGTCCGTCCGCGCCATGCGGACCAGGTTGTCTATCATCGCGAGCTGACGTCACATTTCGGGGTCCACTCCCGGATTTCCGAGTTGTCCGACACTCGTTCCGTCCACTGCTTCCAAACGCGCATCACTGTGCTGCTGTTACGCTGCACACGAGAGGCTACTGCACGATACGACAATCCAACTTCACGAAGGCCGATGATTCTCCCTCGTTCAAAACTCTGTAAGTGTTCAAATCTCGCTCTCTTTCGTCGACGAGGCATAAGTACAGATTGAGTTAACGTTTACCACTAGCAGATAACCACCGATAACCATACACGCCGCTACAGCCGTCTATTTATTCGGATCCATCAGCCGTTCAGAGGGCGCTGCTCACATACGCATGCGCTACGGATTTGCAATTCTAATCATTTGCATATCATGCGCTACTTTGCATTTCCTGAAAATTTCAGCTCACTCGCGTAAGTCCTTCATGGTGTTGCAATTTTCACAAACGTGAGTGTATATAATGGAGGTTACTTTTGAAGGTTCCGCATTTAATCCTTCCTGCTATAAAACAGCTAAAGTTTAACCTATTTTCTCAACTTACCATTAAAAATTTTTAACTGATGAATTATGAATAAAAGTATTTCAACCCAAAACTCTGAGTTTGCTTCTGTTAAAAGAATGTTATGCTCCGATATTTCCTTGAAAATCTGGAATTACAGCAATTTAATTCGAAAAATTCTAAATTATTATTATAAGAGAATACTTCTTCTCTCTTATTTTAAAATTCAATCAGTTTCATATTCATTCGATTTAGCAAATCAGTTCTTTATATTAAGACAAATTGCAGTCACAAGCGCATTTTATAAAAAATAAATTCCCGTGAAGTAGCTTTGTTCACTTTCTTTAAATCTGGGAACCTTCAACGTGAAAAAGAACAGAATATTTTTGCATCAGTAAGTACTAATGAATGACATTGGAAACATACTTTAAATAATGTGAGAAGAATTTATTAATTAAAATAACGATGCAAATGTTCATAAAACCTATTAGTTGGACGGATCGTACATTGGAAGCCCTTATATCGCTGCCAATAAATGCAAATATTGAATATTACAATTAACCGCTTTTAGCGGCTGATCTTTTGAAAATGATGGAATCAATTACCGAATTGATTCAATCGCTAAAAATTCTTGCTAAAACTGATACGCCAATTAACGTTAGTTTCACATAGCGAGTCTTTCTTTTCGATATGTGTTTATTGCTTTTAAATCGCTCAGTTTTTTAAGCGTTGCAAATATATTAAATCTGAAGACTTTATATTTTCCCGAATAATAAATACTAGAGTATGGTATGCATGAGACCGCAGGTGAGATAAACTTTACATTTAGCGCAATGGTAAGGACAGTGTATGGAGATAATATACATGGCAGCTTAACCTAACCTAACGTAACGGTCCAAAAAATTTGTCAAGTCTCTGTTAGAGACATACCGAACGTCAAACAGTTATAGGAGGAATGGATTCTCGTGCTCTGATTTCAGTTAGTAATAAGTAAATAAATAAATAAATAAATAAATAAATATAAATAAAAAATAAATAAAATAAACAAAAAATTTACAAAATAAATAAATAAAGTTAGTTATTCATGGAACTGAAAGTAGGCGAGTTTTGCATGAATAATTATGTACTATCTCTCATTGCTGTTATTTACAATTATGGCAATCACACTTGCATTGTGGGAAAAAACGAAACCATATATATACGAGTAAAAGAATATTCCAAACAAGGCAAAAATAACAGTAAATAGAATAACACATGCAGCTTATCTGAGTCTCGTGAAAGGAAGAAAGAAGAAAAGTGAAATGAAGCAAAAGAGGAGCAGTCAGAACTGCTTCTGATCCTTCCTTATTGACATGATCCAACTTGAAGCGCCCTCTTAGTTTGGCTCCAAGGTGATAAATGTACTGCCATCTACTGTACGACCACGGAGATTCAGTCGGGAGGCCCATTTTTCTCTCTTCTTTCATATTTTCTTACTTTTTTAGGTTTTCATCCATCTTTCCGGTAGGTCTCGACTTCTTTATACTGGAGAAGGAAGAGTAGGGGGTAGCTCTCTGACAACGCTTCCCCGGAGTATTCCGTTTCCCGCGAAGCGTAAATGGAAAAACTGGATTGTCTTGACTTTAAGAGTGGCGCTTTGAGGAGGCATTTGACGGCTGGTTGCGAAGATCTGAAACGGTTAAATTTAGGATGCAATGAATGGACGCGGCAATGAAAATATACTCTCTATGGTTGACTTACACAGAGCAATTAAAAAAATACTTCTCACATTTGGTATAAAGTATCTATTATCATAAAGGAACCGTTAAGGTGCCTATGTAAATGTGCAATATTAAAGTTTCACTTATATCACAAAATTGTCTTAAGTTTGAGTGAACTGCTTATCAAATGAGTTGTTTTCAAATGCTGATCGAGTTTTTTGTAAAACTGCAAGTCAGCATTACCCTCAGTGACTGCATGCATACGAAACGTAGCACAAGAAAACACCCAGGTAGGACTGGCACAAACATCGTGATTTTGATGTGCCCGTGTAGATCGGAAATAAGCACAAAGCATAATATTATATAATCATAAAGAAGTTGTATAGATGAAAATCTGTATTAAGAAATCTGTTTAGAGGGAGAATGACAAAGCTTCTCTTAATCACAAAAATTTGCAAAGTTTCTGTTTGTGAACCGCCTGTTACATGGTCTGTTTTCATACACCTAAGATTCATAGATCATATTAAGATCTTGTTTAGCTTGGTGCAAGAAGACAAGCCAGAACAAGTTGTAAAAAGACATCGTTCGCGTATGTTTCCAGTGCCTATCTGGGTATCGTAACTTGACCGGTAACCAGAACAAGTTGTAACAAGACATCTTGGGTGTTTTCAGTCAATTTCTACATATCATAATCCTATCAGTTTCATAAGTAGTTTTGGACGTACTTGTTTAAGAGAGAAAGGCAGACATAAGATTATAGTATTAAAACGAGTTTATTACTGCTATTGATCTGATATTTCGCAATTAACATTTTAGCACCATCTTGATAAAAGCATAAGGTAGGCGGTTCAGGCACAGAAAATATATAAATCTTGGTTATGTTAGTATATCTTCGAAATTTCTCCTGTTGCAAATACTTTGATGGTCATTTCAACACAAATAATTATATTATACCAAATTTTCAAAATAGTTTGCTTCTTTTTCAAATACCTAGCATGCGCATCACAAAGTCAAAGAAAATAAACTGTAGGTAAAGTAGCATTTTCCACATCATCAGGAACCTACAAACTATGTTTAATTAAGAGATATTATCTCATCAAATATATTTTATAATACGCTTAAAATTTTCCTAAAAATTTCAATACAGAAGCATGCTTATTCATTACGTAAAACACAGTCGCTATTCTCCTCACCCAAAGTTTTAAAATAATATTTCAGTGAACTAAAAAAATGCTTCATTATTTTATAAACAAATGAATGACTCTGAATGTAATTAAATTTGTGAACCAGGTATGTAAAAATGTTGAAACGAATTTGAATTCGGCTTACTGAAGGGTTTCTTTAGATCCCTTTGTCATACAGTTAACTATTTAAGTAATCAGTTTGCCACTACAAGTACTTTACGACGATTAGCTCAAAGAAAATTTAACGCCACCATAACGGTTCTCCATCACAAAGGTGTGGCATGGTCAATGATGACCCACGGATTCAAGACAACCGCCACACATGTCGCTGTTGAGTGTTCATTATGAGGTTTCGAGTCTTGCGGATACACTGGATAATCTTCAAGTAGATATCTACACTTTTATGCCGGTCCACCCTTATTCAACTCAAATGCACGCCCTTAAGCTTTTTTGCCCCTTACACAATGGAAAAAAAAATTCGTTTCCCAGTAGTGAGAAATGAATGAAAGAATTGATTGCATAAAACCTTTATCCTACAGAGAAAATGAGATAAGCAGCTATTTCAAGAAATTCTTACCTTCTGAAAACACACCCTTCCGCTCCGTTGCTGTCATATTTGAATAAAGTTTCAGCTTTTTCGTTTTTTCAAACAAATAACTCTGTCTTTCTGTAAATGAATTGTACTAAGTCCACATAGGTATGGATTATATGGTTAAAGTATTACTGCAAAATAATCAGTACATACTACAAGCTTTGCACAATAAAGTAGTGGAAGACATTAATTATGACCAATATCTACTATAAAACATTCTTATTTCTATCATCTCTATACAGGAATTTTTACGATTGCAGTAAGTTACTTATTAGTTCCTCACTTACTCATTGCGTTCTTAGTAGCAGGAGCTTAGCTACTTATGCAATACATATTGTTTAAAGAACGATATCCAAAATTCTTACTCGCATTGCTACAGTTATTTCAATTATTGACACAGTAACTGTCATTTTACTGAATTACTAGCATAGTTACTTTTATCAGGACTACTATTTCCCCTTATCTGCTTTACGAACATGTAAGTGTCCTGAATAGAACAGTGAGTTTACTGAAAACTATGTCCTTATGGGTTGTAGAAGAGATGACAAGATGAGAAGGGTGTCCACAAATTACAGGTGCTCCCTCACTTCGGGAAACAAAGACCAAACACTTGTGGTCTGAACGTAAGAAAATGAGAACTACTGTAAGTTAATTTAAATAAGAGCTAAACTCGAATATTTTACACAGACGAATAACACTAAGATCGGCCTTTTAGATTTTTACGTATGTAGTACGTAAGCTGCGAGAAAACTACAATGCGTCTTCAATGCCAAGAGGACTAAACCTCTGGCCTTAAAGGCGGACAGCAACTGATTGAAAGCACGCGTGAAATAAAATGGCGAGAAGGCTCATTCTCTCTCCCTCTACGTGCTCCGTTCCGTTTCGTTTGCCGTTACCGCCGGGTCTAGCTTGCAAAGCTACAAGCTGTATACTAGCTATCTTCATTTGGTTGCTTCATGTAGCGCGATGCAGGGACAGAAATGCCTGAGTGAGTCCTGGAGACAAGATATAATGCATAAAATATAATTTTTTTTCATAAACTAGAAGATTATATACACAATATTTACAACCTTTTGCTTTGCATTAAATGAGTGATGAGGATGAAATCAAAATCATGCTATAAACACATATTCAGCTGAGATTTTGGACAGAGCAGATGCGAAAGCACATTTAACTCTCTCTACCTGGCAAAAAGCTACAACTTAAATACTTGAGAGTTTTCAAGCACAATTTGCATAACTAAACTAACGCGTTTATTCTGGCCGCCGGAAGTGGAAAATAAGAGAGGACAGTAAAGTTTCAAAATAAAATAAACGTTAGTAATATTTAAGATCCTTATATTTTAACTTTGCTGAATTACTGGCACAGTCACTTTCATTTCAAATACTGATTCTTCAAATGCACGAGGCCTGTTATACATCAGCGGGAAATATTGAACTGATCCAAATTTTGTGTTTTCATATTTTTTCCCCCGGAAACCAGTACATTTGCCACCTTATATAATCAAAAACTAAATTTTAATAGAAATGAGCAATGATTTGAAATAGGTAATAGTCCTAATTAATTTCTTCAACTACTTCAGTGTACACGGTTTGTGTATTTCACTTCAGATACTTCAGACATGCATTTATAGAAATATAGTAAAATGCATTTGTAGGAAGAATTTGGCTGTTGGCTTCAAAATAAAGAAGTAACATGAGCAAAAGGAAAAAAAGAAAAAAAAAAAAAAAAGATGCTGCAACTAAAATGATTATTTTTGTGAAATATGAAAGTAATATAGTTAATTTTTGGCTGAAATTCAACACTAAAGTTATTACGTTGTTACTAAAATTGGCTTAAAATATTAAAATTTTTTATTATACCTTATTGAAACTCAGTTTATTTCCGGTTCGAAGTTTCCCCTCCCTCCATATTTGCAATTCCGGAGTCAATTTCAAGAAAGAAGACCCAATGGACAACTGTATTAGTTCTCACAGAAAAAAAAAAAAAACCCTTTCTGATTTAGTGATTTAGATTCATATACTCACTGGATGAAGAGATGGAAGTTTTGTTTTAAAGATCTACGTAAAAGCTGATGTTAATCGAAACCCTCTAAAAAATTTCGCAATCTGTGTAAATAAACTTATGAGTATTACCATCAGAGGCGGATTGTTGGATTTAATTCTATACTTCAATGCATAAATGTAAGGAGTTTTCATCTGTTGCCGACCGGACGATTTCATAAAATATTATAAAGGTGCCGGCCCCTTTATGGAAGTTGGCGATGGTCCATCGGGATTAAGACCTTCACATGGGCGACTTTGATGGTCATTACTTTCTTTCTTCACGACACTGGATTTCCCGAAAGGCCAGCACCTTATCACAGCACATCTTCAAGCCTTGCCGAACGGTGCCTGACTTGAGAAAAGGTACCGGCACTTTTGCACATATTGGCTATGCATACCGGCTACAACGCTGTTTTTATGGCTTTTTTCCATGTTCAAAGTAAATAAGATTCTGTTTCCGTTAGGAAATCCCCTTCTTGAGTATACATCCCTCGTACGCTTTGTCACATCCAAATAACCTAGCCTAAATTCTTCCTTAAATAGATGGATTAAATTAAATCAATCTAATTATCTTTAGATAGTTAACTGATGAACACAATAATTAAAAGATTAATCTTGATATTTTCCTACTCTTTAGTTGAGGGGGAGTATTTTATCATCGCTTTATTTCACTGCAAGTTAATGTGAATGAATAAAATTTCACAAAATTTTCATAAAATAAATATTGTACAATATCATACGTAATCATTTAAAAAAACAGTCAAGTTGCTTGCGACAACATATACATACAAAGATATTATGCAAGTTGTCAAGAGACAAAGGTAATCGAATATGATTTTACGAGAGTTCTTTGTTAAAGCTCTGAAGTACTTTTGCATAACTTTATTAAAAAATTTATTATGTTTTCTTCTGAACGTCTAAAGTTGCATGACTTGGCTCAAAAGGAAACATACATCAAGCATTAGAAGATTATCCAAGTTGCGAGATGTAATTTAACCTACAAAATCTTTACTGTTTGGTTTATTTAATTATTGCAAAGTACTAGAGAGTTATCTGCTAAGGGAAAGTATGCTTTCGTGGAAGACTTTTGAAGGTAAATTGGCTCTTATTCATGTCACACATAAGATAAACCACAAAAGTGCCCATGAAACCAGCCCGTTCGCCGGGAATTGAGCTCCGGACCGAACTACACCTGTTCAGCTCGGCCGCTGGTGAGCCCAAGAATCTTTACGTAACAGTTACTTAACTTTTGCTCTGTGTTTTGATATTTAGCCTGCTGTAATTAAAATTCATTTTCATATTCACGTCTCAGGTTTAGTTCACTTCTTATTAAATCTTTTCGTAATATTTTACATGTTTTCCTACATTTAGTAATCCTTCAATTACAGTTAAATTAGTAATTCATTTTTAGGTGTATAACTTCAAACTAAATACGATTTCGTTGCGTTTAACAGTTGGAAGCATAGTTTGTGAACCATCAGTTCTATGCACACAAAATTTACTTTCATTGAAAAAAATGCGAGTTTGAAAAATTCTAGAAACTTATAGACAAACTCTTTGCAAATCAAAGCCATTTATTTTTTTATTTTCACCCATGGGTGAGATTATTTTTATCTCTTTTTGACTTAATTTATGAACGAAATTTCGATCCGAGGTGCAACGTTACCACCAGAAAAAGGTACAGTAATGTGCAAGTTTTTTCTACACCCTGTTTAGGCATTGCAGTATTTCGATTGAAAATGTGTAGCATTAATGAAAAATGAATGAAAACTTCTGATATTACGGTCCGTCATTTTCACTCTTCTTGCATTTTATGATAACATTTTTAACCGCTTTCATATCCATATATTATCAACAATTTTACACGACGAAACTTCTTTGTTTTATGGAAGTACTTGTTTTGTCAAAATTGGATCAAGGCAAACTAGATGACGGTTATCTAAGAAAAACGTAAACTGCGGAGGACTGTTTAAGGGAAAGTTTCTCGTATTAACGTTATATGTGGAAAAAATCATGAAAACTCACCTGCAGTCAAACTTTTGGCCGGGATTCTAACCCGGTGTGAACTACAAGTGTTCAGCAGTTTTACCGTTCAGTCGCTGATGGACGTCGCAATATGAAAAATTCGTCACAGCACACCTAACACGAAACAAAACCATAATTTAACTCTTCACAATATGCCAAATTATCATTGTATAAATTTCTTTTCAATGCCTTAGCGCATAAGAATTGCTGTAATTTTGAAGCAATTAAATGACAATATGTAAGAAAAATAATTAAGAATATCTTTCGTTCATTGTGATCTTTTTTCTCTACCGAAATTTTTCATACACATGTACAGGGAAAAAGAAATCAATAGAAATAAATCTAATATCATACGTTTGATAGTTTATTTAAATACGATCGATTATTTTTATCTTGCTACAGTTGTGAACATTTCCTCTGACCTTCAAAATGAAATGTTCATCTCCTTTATGGACTACTCTCACTCAGTGGAGCATGTAGCTTGATTTCACGGCTTTTATCCAGTGCGGTGACTCCGAAAGCCAGTCAGAAGACAAACCATCTAATTGCGCATCAAAAATGCAGTCACAGAAGCGCGAAGAAAGAAAATGAGTAGTTGCGGCGACAGCACGAAACTTTTCTGGCGCCTTTCGTTGCTGGCGAATATGTTAAAAGAAAGAATAAGAGTAATTTTAAGGTACAAACTGCTTTTTTTGACCACTGAAACTACTTTTTTTTTTCCCTGTTTCTAAAACATTTGCTTTCCTCAGAATTTTAAGGCTGACATTGTGCTCAGGATTATTTCATATTTCTTACATATATAATTTCTAATAAAAATAAGTATTTTCAATAGGTTTGAAAAACAAAATCTGCATTTTTTTAATCACTATCAAAAATGTGATTTGAATATTGTTATTGTATATAAAGCAAAAATAATTACCTATTTCGTTTTTGGTTTGTTTTGCAAATGTATGCATTTTCTGAATGTTTCAAAATACACGAGGGCTATCTTCAAAAGAGAAAAGATACCTTCGTGAAGGGCTCTTTCAAGGAACTGGCTCGTATTTATGTTGTGTAGACGAAAAATCACGGAAACCAAACATGCAACCAGCCCGGGTTCAAACCCTGATCTAACAAACACTATTCAGCTGTCCTGACATTCGGCCACTGGTTGGGAGATATATCTATCTATATATATATATATATATATCTTTCTCTCTGTATATATATATATACATATATGGATTTATTAAGTAGTTTTTGGATTATCTCCTAGGAAAAGTAACTGTGAAAACTGATAAAAATTGTGAATATTAACAAAATAGTTAAGTAGAATTCATAAATGTTCATTTTTATGAAAAAATTAAAATTTAAGAACTGTGTATTGAAAGAAAAAATTAAAATGTGAGCCACTTTTAATTAAAATATAGTAAATAAAAGTAAAAATTGAAACAATTATTACTATTAATTGGAAATTAATTGACTTTTCAAAGGGAACAAATCAATTTGAGATTAAATCACAATTATTAACAGATACAAATTTTTCCGTCGTCTTACTACGCAAGAACTAATCATGTCGAAAAGAAAGAAATAAAAAATATTAAAAAATATATTATAGTTTAAATCAAGGCCCACCAGCGGCCGAGCGGTAAAGTCTCTGAACACTGGTAGTTCGGTCCGAGGTTCGAATCCCGCGAACGGGCTGGCTGCATGGGCGTTTTCGTGGTTTTCCCCATGTGTAACGTGTATACGAGCCAGTTTCCCTTAGAAAGTCCTCCACGAAAGGCATCCCTCCTCTTAGGCAGATAGCCCTAGTGTGCTTTGTCATAATCACATACACACACACATATCAAGAATAAAACTTAAATAAAGATTTAAATATTCTTGCACAAGAAAACCATTCCCCAACACATTTGAACACATTCGCCATTTTCGTATAACAAAAATAATTACAAACAACAGTTGCAAAAAGAATTAAACAATTCAGAAACAAAAGAAATGTAAAAAGGTATATAAAAAATAATAAGAAATCAATAATAAGAATCATAAATTTAAATTTTCTTATTTTACTAAAAATATAACATCTTTATAAGAAAGTCTTTTTATATTAACAAAAATGACACATGAAGTTGGCCAGAAATGAATTAAATTTAACTTAACATATTTGCTAAATTTAAGTGGACAGCAAAATGGCAATGTAGTTACATGATTGCTGCACTAGAAACGCTATTAGGGCGTGTAACTTGGATATTGTGAGAGAATGGTGTTGGAGAAGTGTGGATGTGAAAATGTAACTTGGTAGAGGGTATTTTATGAAGGCATGTGTGTGTGTGTTTGTGTGTGCAGAAACTTCATTAATCTAGTTAGCATCCTTGGATGATGGTTCATTAGTGGAATAAGACCGTTTCTCATTTACATGTATCTATGTCAATGACATTAATGCATATTTACCAACAGTTCACTATTGGCAAAATTAGATACATATATTCATAAGCGCCTACATTTTTTTCATATTAGTTTCCTAGTTCGTATGTTCTGCCATTATCTGTCATACTGCTGAAAAAGTATGAAACTTCTGTGAGATTTAATTATTAAATAAAATAACCTTGGACATCTCTAGCAAGAATGAATATCAGACCGAAAAAGAGATTGTGGGTTCCACTCTTGTATAAGGTTTGATGATTTGTGTGCCGTTTTTCCTCTCCACTGGATGCATAATATTAGTTGTTTCGTGGTGCACCTCGTACTGCGCTTCGGAGATCAGATGAACGATAGATTCGTCAGCATTTCCAAGTCTCATCGTCAGGTTCCTATTTAAAATAAATAAATAAGAAATAATTATTAAAATGCTTTCTATATAAATAAACAGCTTTCAAACCTTTAGCAGCGAATTTATTATACTATTAGATAAGAATATCAGCTTATTCTAGAGATATAATAGCTTGTGTGGTATCATTTTGCTTGTTTTTCAAGCATGATCATTCCAGAGATGGAAATTATTCTAATGATTATTAAAATTTCGTGCCTCTGCTAAGAGCCTTAGTGTTCGAAAATATTTGAAAACAAACCTTTCATATCCATATATTATCAACAATTTTACACGACGAAACTTCTTTGTTTTATGGAAGTACTTGTTTTGTCAAAATTGGATCAAGGCAAACTAGATGACGGTTATCTAAGAAAAACGTAAACTGCGGAGGATTGTTTAAGGGAAAGTTTCTCGTATTAACCTTATATGTGAAAAAAATCATGAAAACTCAACTGCAGTCAAACTTTTGGCCGGGATTCTAACCCGGTGTGAACTACAAGTGTTCAGCAGTTTTACCGTTCAGTCGCTGATGGACGTCGCAATATGAAAGATTCGTCACAGCACACCTAACACGAAACAAAACCATAACTTGTGAAACATGTGGCAGAAATTTACTTAATTAATACAATTAATATTGTTGAATATGAAAAAATGATCTCTTCCACAGCAAACGTGGAAAGACTTAAACTAATGACAAGATACTTCAATACATTTCGCTTGCTGTGTTGCGGCTCTGTGGTTCAAAATACTTGATAGCAGGGCCATGCTAAAGCTCTCTCTTCAGATGAACAAATAAAACAAAAGCCAAATCACTGAATATAAAGTTATCCATAGAGTCATCTGCATATAATGTTATAAAGATGCGATTGTTTGTTATACTGTTTGAGCAAAGCATCTAGGCAAGTTTCCGTTAAGACCTTCTACCTTTTGAGTTTCAGCATTCTAGTACTTATTTGAGCAGTAATAAAAAACGCCATCAAAGTGATGAAAGGAGTCTGAAAGTGATTATAATCTTCGAGTATGGATTTAAAAAGGAATATTAAATTTGACTGTAAAAAAATATTAATTTGATTATATTATTTAGTTCACCTCCCGGTTGCGATGTAGCTAGTGTGTCACTCAGCTGCACCACGGGTCCGGGGCTCGATCCCCGGGCTGAACAAGGTTAACGCAGCCTTTCATCCCTTGAGTGGGACGATAAAATGAGTACCAAGTTCGCTTGGGGATTAAACACCGGGGGGTCCTGCGACAAGCTGACCATTTGTCCAGGGCATATGCTGATGCAGTCCGGGGACCAAGGTCAAGAAAGCAGAAAAAGGGCACTGCAGGCCGTGGCCCACTAGGCGTACAGTGCCTTCTTGCGGCACTGAGTTTTTTTTATATATATCATTTAATTAAGGCAAGGCATTCAAAGGCTTTCCGTCTAACTCTAACTTAATTTCAATCGAGAAGACCTCCGCGAATATATATTAAAAAAAAAAAAACTGATACTGATACGTCGTAATTATTCATGTTTGCATACAGAAAAGGAGAAAATGTTCCGAATGAATGTAAGCTGTCAAAGTACTGAAAGAACAAAGGTTATATTTGTCATATACATGTAATTATACGAGTTGTGATGATCCGTTTCCTAAGGATGCAAGCTCAAGGACATTAGAAAGGCACGAGGAACAACAAGCAATTTTAACAGGAATAACGTATTTATTTATCACGCAGATATGTGTTCATATTGCCTGACATTAATAAATAATCACTTCATACATAGCACGAAATATTTGCAGACATATGTTAAACACGTCTACGTTTCATGATTTTTTTTTTTTTTTTTTTTTTTTTTTTTTTTTTTAAGTAGGATGTACCTGAGTTGCATCCTTTCCACTTTCTCCTGTAGTTTAGATCTTTCCCGGCAGATGCTGTTTTTAAAGAAATTATCAAATTTTTCGTGGGTGTGTGAGTGTTCATAGGAAATAAATAGATAATACCCGCATAATTTCTCTTGTATATAGTTCCACATTTTTTAAAGTATTTATTTTCGTTGGACTGAAAAATGCAAGTGGATTACTGTTAAAATGATAAGTACTAACTATATTAATCAGTAAAAACTCTGCCTAACAGTCTTTACCCAGCAGGTAATTTCGCCTAAACGAAACTTAAATCGAAATGGAGACATAGAATCACTGGACCCCAAAGGCTGTGATCTCCAGTTTATTTTTTTCCAAATTATACTTATTTGAAAAATTATTTTTTTAAGTGAACTGCATAGCATAAAGCAGAAATAAATTATCTCAAAACATAGTATGCAAAGATATATAATTAATTTTCTGCTGTTCAGGAACTGATATTCGTATTTACTGCTCTTTAAATGGTGTCGTTGCATGGCTGGTGAAAAGCCCTGAGATAAAACGACTGGAAAATAACTCATTATCTATAGATAGAAAGAAGAATGTCTGTGCGTTTGTTTGTTCACGATTAACTCAGTCACTACTATAGCTATCGGCACCAAACTTTCTCCAATACTTTTCTGGTTCCTGGAAAAGGTCGACCTCCCCTTTTTCAAAAATAAATAAATAAATAAAAATAGTTAAAATCAGAGATATTAATTTAAAACTCTGAAAAATCTAATTTCCGTCCTCATTTTTCCGAGTGGCAAGAGTCCTGCACACTGGAGATAAAAAAATCGTTCGCCGCTTTTTCGGATGGCATAGACTATCCTTCACCATCGATAGACAGACTCGTATCAATAATAATCAAGTGGGCGTTGTTTATCGATTACAAAGTTTTCAGATGAATAAAATTCAATGATTTTTTCCCTCACGTGCTCTATCATACGCAATTATTATTTTAAATCGTACATATACAATCATTAAATTCTAATATTTACTTTATAATCATGCATTATTTCTGCTTAGACAACAATACAGTCATATTGTTGCGTGCGTACGTCGTTATGAAATGAATGCACAAGTCCGATGAAAAATGAAGAAAATTTATTATTATCACAACAAAAAAATGCTTAAATTTCCTCAGATATTCGTGCAATATTACAATATCTCACAGTAGTTATCTTTTAACTACTCAAACGTTCAAGAGAACTTAATTCAAAACAGCTAAAGAAAGCTAATCCGCGAATTTGCTACAATCAACAAGAGCAATTTTCTAAGCAAACTCTTAGAACAATAACAAACTAACTAAAATCACCAATTGAGAGGTTTTGCTCTTTTTATAAGATTTTAAATCGCGTGAGAGAATTTTCTGGAAATTTCTCGAAAGAGATATTTATTTATTAAATGTTAAATGCACGTGCTCTTGTATTTTTAATTTTTCCGGCTTAGCTTTCTCTTAATATTCATCATGCGCTGCATTGCACAGGGAATAAAACAATTTAATTTATAATTCAACTAACATTAGCTATTTAAATATGAAATCCGTAACACTGCCCCCTTCCCAAGGACTGCACGCTCCCGGGCAGTACAATCCCTCGACAGGAAGCCAAACTTAAACTTAAAGGCATAAATACAATAATAAGCATTGCATTACAATAACAAACAACATGAACAATAAATTCAATAACTAAAACAAATCAAATGCTATCAAATACAAATTAAATACAAAATACAAATCAAATACTAAATACACATTTAGAAAACAAAAGGACCATGGTCTTACACTACACTGGTGCGCAAAAATTAAGGACGAAGTTGAAAAATTAGCATATCAGCTGAACGAAGAGGCAGAGCGGACAGAAAGACCAATCAGGAGATTAAGTAAGGTGATGTAAGGTAGCACTTGCGCAGATATGCAGGTAGACGTAATGGGGGAGTGTCTGAGTAGTATAAAGCACGTTGTCGGTGTAAGATCAGTATTTCTGGCAAAGAGATTGCACGCCGTATAGCAGTTAAAATCACACCGAGTTGCTGCCTCAGCGAGAAATGGCGAATAATCAATCTGTTAGACGACATCTGGATGCTTTTACCCGAGGTCGAATCATTGGGAAGTTGGAGGAAGGCCGCAGTGTGACAAGTGTAGCTGCAGAGTTCGGAATTGCTCACAGCATCGTTTCACGACTTTGGAGACAATTTCAAACTACAGGAACACCTATCCGGGGGTTTAGTAGTGGTCGTCCACGAGAAACCACACCCGCAGATGACCGGTATATTGCCTTACAGGCCAGAAGAAACAGGCGGCAGACAGCGGGAGAAATCGCTAGACACACGACACAGGCGACTGGACGACCGATATCGCGTTTTACCGTGGCCAGAAGACTGCACGGTGGTGGTCTGTTTGCACGACGCCCTGTACGGCGTGTACCTCTAACGCCTGCCCATCGGAGAAGGCGTTCTCTGTGGTGCCGGGAACACCGGAATTGGAGAGACAATGAATGGGGACGACTACTCTTTACAGATGAGAGCAGATTCAGTCTGAGTAGCGATTCTCATCGCATACTCATCTGGAGAGAGCGGAGCCGCAATCATCCCTCGAACGTCATTGAAAGAGACAGGTGTAGAGGTGGCGGTGTTCTCGTTTGGGGAGGCATCATGCTTGGTAGTCGTACAGACCTTCACATCTTCGACGCAGGTTCAGTCAACGGGACCCGTTATTGGAACGAGATTCTTCTTCCATATGTGTGTCTTTTTAGAAGCGCTATGGGTCAGCAGTTCCTTTTCATGGACGACAATGCACCATGTCATCGCACAGTAGCTGCCGAACAGCTCTTAGAGAGTGAGGATATTGAACGTATGGATTGGCCGGCACGATCTCCGGATCTCAATCCCATCGAGCATGTATGGGATTTTCTAGGCAGACGCTTGGCAGCTCGTACCTTACCACCAGTAACGATTCCGGAGCTTCGATTGGCGCTGCAAGACGAATGGGCAGCAATGCCTCAACAACTCATTGACACCCTCATTCTCAGCATGGGCAGACGCTGTGAAACCTGCCTAGCGGTCAGGGGAGATCATATCCCCTATTAAAGGCCGGATGTTTCTTGCTGGACACCCATCAC